GCTGTTGAGGACGCCAGCGTGGCGCAGCTCCTGCAGCACCAGCCCGATCCCTGCGGACGGGGGACAGAGCTCAGGGGCAGGGAGGGGCTGCAGAGCTCAGCAGCCCCAGCCTGGCCCACGGCTCCCACCTTGGTCCATGCGCCCGATGGTCGTGTACTGCGCAGCCAGGTCTGCCCGGGCAGCCGGCGTGTCCGGGACAAAGGCAGGGACCTAAAGCGAGCCGGGGAAAGGGGAACGTGGCTGACACTGTGACAAGTGACAAGTGACAAGGTGGGGGCCAGCCCTGGCTCCATCAGAGGCTGCCTGCACGTGCAGCCCCACAGAGCCCCACACACCCCCACAGGTTCTCACCTGCACTTGTTCTGGGCGGTAAATCTGTGGTTTCCAGTCAGGGATCCAGCCCATGCCGCTCTCGCCATTGCCAAACTTCTCACAGAAGGCCCCGTACTGGGGCTGGGAGTGCCCACAGCGGTGGGGGTCGTGGAAGGCAACATAGAGGAAGAAAGGCCTAGGGATGGAAAGGGGGATGTGGAGCTGGTGAAGCCAAGGACTGCCCAGAGACCTTCCTGAGCACGGCGAGCTGGGGTCAGCAGGACTCCCCACACCTAATCTGGATACACGGTATGGATGCTAACTATGAAACAGGGAGCACAGTGCCTGTGGAAAAGCAGGCCGCGTAACTTTCTCAGTCTTGCCTGAGAAAGTGCCCTGGGAAATCATAAAGAGGAATTAAAACAATCCTCAGAGATAGAAAACAGCCATGCAGGTTTGTCAGTTTCTTGTTTTCTTGCAAGAGAAGGTGGAGGGGTGGTGTACCCCACTGACCAATGATGGTGATGTGTTAGTTCACTGACCAATAAGAGTTTTACTTTTCTGTACTTTCATGTATCGATCTACAAAAGAAGATCTAAAGAAATAAACGAGATAGGAACTCTCCTGTTCGACTCACAAGAGAGTCTGTGTCCTTCTTCTCACCATTCCCAATAGAGTGACAACCCAGGGACAGGGGCCCCTTCCTGTTTGTGTCCAGCTGGGCCATGGGGACACATCCTCAGTGAAGCCAGTTTCCCTCCCCCCACAGCCATTCCCAGGACGAGGGGCCCGTCTCACCGCTCGTCCTGGCTCTGCAGGAACCGCCGGACGAGCGCCTTGATCCGGCTGATGTTTCTCCCAACCTGCAGGACCGAACTGTTCTCCTCTGTGTAGGCAAAGTCGAAGGGGTACACAGCCTCGGGCCCCACGTGCTTCTTCCCAATTATCCCTGCGAGAAGCAGACAGGGGCTGTGCCAGGGGCAGTGGGAGGGGGGGACGTGGCTGCTGCTGTCTCCTCTCTGTGGGGACAGCCACGGGTCCAGGCAGTGCTCCCCAGCCCATGGGCAATTCAGCCAGCAAGCTCTGACAGTGGGGTTTGGTGCTCCCACCTGTCCCAGCTCCCCAAATATCCCAGCTCCTGCCCCATCCCCG